ATGAGATTTCAGGTCAAAAGAAGAGTTTTGTGGTGGTGGCTGTCAGGGTTGGAGTCATGTCAGCATGTCCGTGTGGAATGATCCAATAGAGAAAAAAAAAACCATGGATGCTCTAGAAGCGGGGAGGATTGCTGGAGTGATGTCCCTGAGTGGGTAGGAAGGCCCAGCACCCAGTGGCGCACCTGCGGCCTTAGGTGGAAGCAGGTGTTCTCTTTGCGTCTTCCTCCTTTTCCTCGTTTCTCTGATTCCCACAGCGACCTCACTGTCAGCCTACCTGCCTCTTCCCCTAACCCTCTCATGTTGCATAAATTCTCTTGTCTCCTGATGCACACTGAGCCCTTCCTTCATAAAAAAGAAAACAATTATATATTCATAACATTCTCCAGATGTGAGTGAGGCTACACTATCTGCCCTGCCTATGACCAGTTTTTTCGTACAGGTCCAATGCGATTTTGCGTAGAACAGCCCATTGGAAGCTGTCCACCCTTAAACTTCATTTTAGAAAAGGAAGAAACCAACCATTACGAAAGCTGCAGCCGTGTTAGCTGGTCATCTCCGCGCGCTCACTCTGTGTGCCCGTCCTTGGCTTTTCTCTTCACCTATATTCCATACTGAATGACCATAATTTTTTCTGCTGCTTCCAGCTGACACTTGGAGTCTGATGTCTATATGTTACCTCACGTGCTAGGAGGACTCAGAGCCAAAAAGTCTCCTATCCTGCTGAGTTGTGAAATGTGTCACTTCAGTACATTAAGTCTAGAGTGATTTGTTTGGGGAAAAGGTATCATGAGTTAGAATGAGAGTGAATAGTGACCTGCTGGAATTAATGGGGGTCGGGGGAATAGCGAGAGCTGTCATGGCTTTCCCATTCGTTGTTTTGTCAGATGACGTCCTGATCCAGATGTAGTCTCAGATAATTTCTGACATCTATACTTGTTTCTGACGCCAGTCTGCCACCTTGTGCATTTCTGTTTTAATGTTTTTTCTTTCCTTATAGTGATCCAATATCCAAAACTATCATTAGGACTAGCTGTATTTCATTTTACTATTTCTCTTAGAGTCTTGGAAATTTGATCATATAATGTTGGTATTAGATCATCTAGTTCGGTTTTTTCAAACACATTTTAGACCCAGAAACTCTTGGAAAACCATAGATAATAGTCTTCATTTCAGACACCAGTAAAGTGAGGCCCCCAAAAAATGTGAAAAGGCAAAGTTAAGACTAGAACTCATATACACTGATTGCTAAACCATTCCCTATGTCAGTTCAGATGCTTCCGGATGCAATAAAAATGGCTTCAACAATAACAGCTACCTCTCATAGGATGTTTTAAGGTGGCTGCGGGGAAAACTTGGGGTCTGAATAACATCACCAAAGACCCAGGTTTGTCGCATCGCCCTCCCTGTTCTCTTCAGTGTCTGATGTTTACAGGTGGGTCCAGCGACATTAAGAACTACAACCTTCCAAGGTTAAGGGGGCAAAAAAGGGACTGCTTTTTCTCTTAGGAACTAAGAAATGTGTCCCAAAAGGCTCCCTCAAAGACTCCCTCTTGTGTCTTATTGGCCAGGAGAGAATGATATGCCCCATTTTAACGAGGTAACTGGAAAGGAGCAGCATGGAATGGCCATGTTCGACTCAGACAAATCCAAATTCGCCCTGTGAGCCCGAGGTGGGACCATCCTTACGTGATGTGTACGCCTCTGTGGCAGCTCTTAGTTCTCAGGCAAAACCGGGTCAGCACACAAGGAAAAGGCGGGGAGTGGGTATTGTTGGGGGGAGCTCTCCACGAGCCTCTCCCATTTCCGCTCGTCTTCTGAGCAAGAGGCGTGGATACTATGGCTTTGTCCATCCCCTTTTAAGGATGCACGTATAGCGGACAGCTTTGGAAGACAGAGACAGTATCTTCCTTGGGGACGGGGCTAGATTTGTTTTCTGACTAGAATGATAAAGCTAATGTGTCTCCCCCAAACAACAGTTGAGCAGGCTTGCTAGCAGCCCCCTTAACAGATTGGGGTTCCCTAAATTCAGGACCCCTCAGCTGTGACACCAACTCGCTGCATATGTGGCGTCCACCTGAGCTGCTTCACATGCGCCCATGTGACTTGGGGGACAAGGGAAGCCCATGTGGACGTGAAACTCACGCTGCCCACTGCACCGTGAGTAATAAAGTCCTTTGTCTCTGGTCCAGGAGTCTCCTGTCTTCTGCCAGCATCAGTGACTATGGCAAGTTGGGTCAAATCTCAGATGCGCTCCCGTTCTTGATCCTAATGGAAAAGCAACCGTTAGTGTTCGTTACAGCCTTCTTTGTAAAGAGCCACCCTAGATGCATCCAATTCTCAAATACTTAGTTCTGGAAATAAGAATATTTTCAGTACGTGAGAAACGCCTTTTTCACAGGCAGACACAGGGCCACACTTGAGGCTCCAGTCGGAGACCCACGCTCAGGTGAGACTGTGCCGTTGGCTCTGGTGCCTTCTATGCCGCCTCCCTCTTTTCGCTCCCTGAGACTCTGTAATTATCACGTTTAAACTGTCAGCGCCTCTCACCCAGAAGACCAGGAGCAGTCAGCCACGAGCTGAACTTCAGAAGCCTTTAAAACGCACTGGCCCTTTGACTGGGAGATGGGGGTTCTCAAAGGCGTTCCTTAGCGATGTCAGGGAAGCTCACCTCAGGGGGCTGAGGAATGCAAGGAGCCCTTTGCTTTGCTCTCACACGGACAGCAGCCCCTCCCTCAGGGAGCACAGAAGGGGGGTGGGTGTGCCCAGATGGTGACTATTGCTTCCACAGCGCCTGAACCAGGGCTCTGTAAGGAGGAGAGCGCTCTCGGAGACCCGAGGTCGCAGGTCGCTCTCACTGTACCAGCTGCAGAGAGAAGGCTGAGCTGGACCTCAGAGACTTCCCTTCTCTAGAGTGAAGCGTTGATGTTAAGAAGTCCCCAGCACAGAGGAGAAACAGGGCACCCAGGGCGACAAGCAGAGAAGAAAGGATGGACAGTTCCCAGTGAACTTCCGCTGCTGAGTCTCTCTCCAAGTGGTGACATGTGAACACCTGGTGGAGAATTCATCATAGCAGGAGGAGCGGAGGAGAGGAAATCAGAGCAGCGTGTATCCCTCCGAGTCAAACCTTAGGGTTAAACTCAATTTATGCCCCAATTCCAGTTCCCTGATGGCTGTTGATACCTTTAAAATGAAACAATCTTTTCTACTTACCTCAGGAACCCTTGTTCCCTTGCTAATCTGACAGCTTGTGGTTTTAAATGCATCTGCTAAGACAAAGCACCACTAGAACATAACAGATTCAATTTTAAAACTGAGGATGCTTTTTCCCCCGTTGACTCGACCAGAAATACAGGGAAGGTCATTCCTGGCGAGTCACGATGGTCGTCCACCTGTACTCCGGTCCCACTTCCACAGAAGTCCTGATGGAGGTGACTGGCCTCCATCCGTCACAGTGACCCCTGGAAGCACAAGCCCCCGATTTACAGGAGACATTTTACCAGAGTGTGTGTGGAATCACCCCCAGTGTTCAATTTCCCTTTCTAATGACGTACAGGATCAAAATTCCTTGGTACAAAAGGTTCATTAAATTGAGCTATCCATCTGATAATCCCTGTAGCTCAATAAACTTAATGCGGCTTTCAGAGGGGCCTGACCCGGAGCAGGGGATAGCCTGAGTCCTGAAAGAATCGGGCCCATTGTGGTTTTTAAATTAGAATTTTGATTGCCTCTGTGACATCATCTCAAAATGGTACTAGTCCAGAGAAGCTGAATGTTCCATTAGCCCGGGAGGGAAAAAAATGACAGATATTTAATTAAACTGCTTAGAGATTAGGCATAAGGCTTATTGATAGAACGAGAGAATAAATCTCTCCATAAGTAATGTCACGGATTTCACTGGTCAGCCACATCTTCAATGTCAAAAAGAATTCACCCAGCCTAAGGAGCTGGGGACGTGTGTGCAGCTTCTGCAGTCAGCCGCCTCTCCTGCCAATCGCAAGACAAAATATACGTTTAAAAAACATGTTTATAAAACACTGTGTGGTCACTGAGGAGCTTAAAACCTAAAATGTGAAGCGAGGAAACTATTTACAACCGAAGTCGCCAAAGCAACCACCTTATCCATTTTTCCATCGTTGAAAGGTAATTTATTACACAAGGAGGTTGGCCTGGGGCAGATCTATGAACAATGATTTGTGGTCAGTGCCGGAGGGTCCAAGAACGACCCGGCTTCCCGAATGGGGAATGACCAAGGTCACACGAGTGACCCTGGAGAAGGATCCCTCTGCAGGAATCCGAACCTACCTTTTGGACAGCCACAGGTGATCTGGAAAAGACGGAGGTCCCCTTCATTTGCATTCACCCCAATTCATAGCTCTGTAACTTTCAGTAGGAACTACAGTGCTTAGATAAACAGAATAAAATTTTGTGAGTCCTTTCCCAAAGCAGTAACACTCACTCTATATATTAATATTTTCCAGGGAGCTTTTAAAAATGCCAGCGCCTACCCCAGACCAACTGAGCCAGTCTCTGGGGATGGAACAACTGTCCAGTGCAGGTCACTGCCCCAAAGCTATTGAAGAGTTACATAGGGGGGTAGACTCAAAAGATCTCAGGCTTTAAAACATGACAAGCCTGGGTTCACATCCTGACTTCATTATTCATGAAACCTAAGACACTCAACACCTCTCCAAGCCTCAGTTTCCTCATCTGGAAAGAGCTAATGATGGTAACTTCCCAACAGGCTTCCAAAGAGAAAGAAAATGAATGCGCGCGTAACACCTGGTCCCAACACAAGTCTGTTGTCCTCCCCTGGGTTATTAATGGCTAATAATGGATTGGTGTTTTATCCTTCTTCATATGATTGTGCCATGAACCTTTGTAGCAAGTGACGGGCTTAGATTATCATTCTCTCCCTGCTTTGTCTTTCCTCTGGAATCCATTGCCATTTGGTGTCTGGGAGGAAAATACTCACATGCCTCTCATGCTTTCTACTCTTCCAGCTACCACGGAAGTCTCCTTTTCATTTGACGTTGGCAATGGGCCAGTGGAGATCGTGGTGAGGTCGCCCTCCCCTCTCAACGATGACCAATGGCACCGGGTCACCGCGGAGAGAAACGTCAAGCAGGCCAGCCTCCAGGTGGACCGGCTGCCCCAGCAGGTCCGCAAGGCGCCCACAGAAGGTCACACCCGCCTGGAACTGTACAGCCAGCTGTTTGTGGGTGAGTAACAGAAGGGCCGCCATGACGTCTCTCTGTTGGCTTTAATAACCTCCACAGCCCGTGCGTGTTTTGCTAGACATCTTTCTAAGAGTAAGTACCTGGGTCTGTTGTCGTTTCCTCCAAGACAGAGAGAACGAGCAAGGGGACTCAAGAGACCTAAACCCACTTCCACTCTCTGGAGCTCACAGCCCTTATCTACAAAGTCAGAGGGAGCCAGGATACCTCCGAGGTCTCTGACCTATGCACTTTTAGGTTTGTGGTTTTAGAACAGCATAAAATGCTTTCATAACTTACAGCTCTAGTAACCGTGCAGAGGAAGGGAGGGAAACGAAATGGGCTCTCTCCAACCAGACTTGCTTGAAAGGATAAGTAGAAATCCATTCCTTCCTCTGCCCATCCCCAAGGTTCCAGGCAGAGAAAGGTTTAGGCTTCTCCTTACGTAGGATCTTTCTACACGGCACTGAGATCAACACAGAGAGGAAATTCAAAGAGCAAAATGTTAAGCGTCCTGTGCCAGAAGTGGGCTCAGCCTCACCGTCTAGTCTGCTTTGCCATATTCCAGCTAAACCTAACATTACTTCAAATCAATACCTATTTCCATGGCGAGTTACATTTTCAATCTCGTTTTCCAGGAATCGAACAGTTTAGGAAAGTAGCCATTTTTCCTCTGTTGACTGAAAAGAAAGCAAGTTTGAAGGACTTTGAGGCTGTGTGTCACCTGAGAACCCCCCTCTCTGGGTTTCTGGGGGCTAATTGATTGAGCCAGTCAACTGTGACAGCCTCAGACGGGGCAAAACCAGAGGTGACCTGGTGGCTGGTCATATTCATGACACCTGCCCCCGTGGCAGCGACTCACCGAGGGTCAGTTCATTTTAACAGGGGCCAGACTTCCCACGTGTCTTTCGTAGTTGTGTGAGATGCCTTAAGAACATTAGAAAGCCACACAGAGAAAGGAAAAATGAAGTATTCCCTCCTTTGCTGCGATGTGCGAAAACCACAAAGGTGTTAGCTTAGTCAGCTTTGGAAGCAAAACCGACTTGTGAACCAGCCGTGTCAGCCAGGGGCCATCAAAGAGTCATGTATTTTTAAATAAGGTACTGACTCCTTCACCTCAGCTAGAACCCAGCCCCTGCCAAACCCCTCCCTCAAGTTATAAATTACTCACCGCTTTTAAATTATTTTTTTATTGAACATCCAGCCCACTGATTCCTGCTACCTGTTGGGAGCAAGGTTCACTGTATCAAGCTGTCTGGCCCAGATCTCCTAAGGCAAGTTCCTTCCAAAATCCTGTTGCATTCTGCTTGGTTTTCATCATCACAGACGGCCCTCACTGGCCCAGGTTCTCACTTTTTTTGAGTTTGCCACTGGATGGAGCGGTCCAACTTTACTTTTCTCCCTTTCTGTCCACTAACTATAGTTGTCTCCAGGAATTCTGGAGACCAGGCAAAGTTGTACAGTGGCGCGGGGTAAGGGGAGCATTGATTACAGTCCTGGAAAGAATTCTGATTTGTTTAAACAAGAACCGCTTATAAACAGAGAAAAGAGGAGAGGGCTGAGGCAGAATTTGACAGAACCATTAAATTTAAGGGACAGGCAAAAAAGTAGCACCTCGGGAAGAAGAAGAAAGAGGAACAGAGAGAACAAAAAAGGGAAAAAGCTAGGAGAGGGACGGCCCAGGAGGCGGGGCTTTTTTCCTTTTTGGTCAAAAAGACCATAAGCCCCCTGGGGTAAATGAGGACTAGAAAATATTCCTTTGAATTTAGTCTTTCCGAAACAATTTTATTTCCCTGGAGGAAAAAAATTTAATCTTCCCTTCCAAGTTCCTAACTCCCCGTATTCCCGAGGGCAAGAATATGCACATCCGCCCGAACCCAGCCATTTTGGGCCATAAGAAAAAATCTGGTCTTTCATAAGGGCCCCCCCCCAAAGATGGTTGGGGGGTTTGTGGGGGCTGGTGTGCAGAAAACAAAATCAAGTTCAACAGCTATGAAATCCTGGAGCCAGCTGTACCGAGACAGTTCAGGAGGGATTCCGGCAACTAGAGCTGTTCTCAGTTCAGCTCTAATAAGAGGCATCGTCTTGACCACGTATCACCACTTCCCTATTTGAGTCTTTTTTTTTTCCCATCTGTCTCATGAAGGAGTTGGATTAGTTGGTCCCCCAAACTTCTTCCAACTTGAACCATCTATGATTACGTGTTTAGAGGTGGCTTATAAAGGCCTGAGTTGCCAAGAAGTTGCCCTTCCCACAGGGTCGCGTGGTTAAACCACATGGGCTTCGGGCCCCAGCCCCTCTGCTGACCAGCTGGGACCAGTGACGAGTCACGAAACATTTCTGTGCTAGTTAGGGGTGCGGGTCCTGCGTCCCAGGACAAGCTGAGTTGGTCTGCCCTGAGCACTGTGTAGTCCCTGGCTCTGAGTCCATACGCATTAGTAGGAGTTATTTCTCTCTCTTTTCCTTTACCTTTTACGCTCTCAGCTTCCCTCTTCCTCCATGTAACAGCCACCGCTCCAATTGCCTCGTTTCTCCTTCCCCAGAACCCTCACCTAAAATGCAATCACTTTCATTCACAAGCCCTGAAGGAAAACGCACATGCAAAAATGTCCCTTGACGTCCCAAAATCGCCACAGTTGCTTGGCTTACTGGCTCCCAGGCCACCGAGCTACAAGGCCAGGAATTTCCTCTGTCAGCCAAGAAAGCACGTGAGTGTCCATCGGAAAGCATCACCCCCCACGACTGTCCACGGCCGGCATGTGGCAGAGCTGCCCCCGTGCTCCGTCGGGGTGCTGGAAAAACACGGGCCGTGATGCAGAGTGGAGACAGGCTGGCCGTCGTCTGGGCTCGGCACACAAAATGGTCCTAAGGGAAGGGCCGCTCCTGCCCACAGCCTGTGTGAGCAAGGCCAGGCGCGTGTCTGCCCTTCCAAGGAACTGAAAACACGGGGCGGATACAGCTCTCCTCACTCTGCATCGGATACATACTTAGAAGCTGTCATCAAAAGAGGGTTGGCACGGGTCTCTTGGAACTAATGAACGAACATCCAGCTACAATTCTGGTTTAATCCAAAAGTAACAAATAAATTTAAAAATGAAAAGTGACCTGGGAAGGAAAAAGCAGTTGCTGGTATTTGTCCAAAAAGCACAGGGAACTTTCTCATGGGTTTGATCCAACATGACTGCTTAGCATGTGACAAGCTCCCAGGGTGGCCCAGCAGAGGCACCCAGACCCCACGGTGACCTGTGCCCTCAGCAGCCCAGGCATTCAGACCTATATCCTCTGTGGCAGCCGTGGGCCGGATTTTTCTCAGTGGTTGGAGAATAGCAAAGATATTCAGGGTCATTATCTAAGCATGAAAAGTGCCAGGCTGGATGGAGCCAAAGCCCTTTGTGGCACAGAGACATGCCCGAGGGTTTGAGTCCTGGCCACTAAGGACTGGGCAGTGAGGAGGCAGGGTGGCCGGCGGCCAGTCCAGGGCCTGGGTGGGAAGTTGGCGTGTGAGACAGAAAAGAGAGGCGGGCAGGCTCTTCGGGGCAGCTGGCTGCTGTGGAGGTTAACTCGCAGCAAGTGTCACCCGCCCGGGCCCCAGCGTGTAACTGTTCTCGGCGGTAGTTTCAGGAGGAGGTCAGCGTTCAGCAGAGCTGGAGGCCACTTCAGAAAGCTTCAGGGAGAAGTCAGGCGCCTAAGCAGCTCCTTGAGAGAGAAGTTCAGGTCAGCTTCACTAGTGACAAATGCCCAGGCTCACGTCAGCTGGCTCAGACCTCTTTGAAAATCTCTCTGGAGGTGAAAGGAAGCCATCGCTTTGGGGCAAGATGTCGCCCAAAAGGAGCTGAAGAGCATTGTCACGACCTCAGGATGCCCTCAGGATGCTCGGTGCTGCGGGGAGGCCTGGTTGGCGACTTAAGGAAGAAGCCCCGCCTTCAGGGTGACTCAGACGCTGATGGGGAGCAGGGGGCCTGCAGCCAGCCCCCTCTCCCTCTGGCAGCCTGTCTCCAGGGAAACTTCTGCTCCTGAGTGGCAGCTTGAGTTTCTGGAAGGCTTGAGGCTTAATAAATGGATTTACAAGTGAACGTAGACCGCAGTGCTCTGACCGTTCTCCGAGCTGCTTGGCCAGCAGCCCCGTGAAACAGCCCACGTCCCCAAACGTGATAATGAGCTTGTGTGCTCAGCTGCTCCTCGTACCTTATTCCAAAACCATGAGTGGACTGTTCCTTTGCCGTCTGAAATGCATTGGAATTGAGACAGTGAGGGGGAAGTCAACATGCAAGGGGGGACAATGAATTCTAGTCATAAAGTACACGCAACTCTGTGTATAAATAAAGCGGTTCTTTCCAGTATCCAAAAAGTTTACGATAAAAATATACAATCCCAAATTGCAGGAATTAAAACACAGAAAATAATGTGTTGGGTTTTTTTTTAATTATTTAAATGTCTTTTTTTTTTTTTAATTTTCTGCAAACCTGACTCAGTAGCAACAACATAAATGTTGGCTGACGTCCTGGACGATACTTCTCGGCCACATACTTCACGTGCTTTATTTATCTCACTTAATCCCTACAAGAACCGGGTCAAGCAGTGACTGGTAACTAATTCCCGTTTTATTTTCACAATGAAGAAAGTAAAGCTGAAGATTCAAGGTCAAGCAGCTCGTAAGAGACAGAGCTGGGGCTTTGATCCCAGACAACCTGATTCCAGAGACCCACTTCTTAACCATTCGTCTTGTCCAAGCACACATTGCACAGAAGTTAAAACAGGCAAGGAAGACTGCGTTCAAGGCTAGTGCCCTGGGGTGTGAGGCCACAGCTCAGGCTGAGCCCAGCTCCGCTGAAACAGGGCAAGAGACTCGTTTTTTGTTTCTAAGTTGTGGTAAAATACTCATTGGGGGAGTTTTAAGAGCCGGGGTAGGAGGGACGTAGGCCATCGGTGTTTGCTAACTGACTTCACCCAAAGGAAAACTTAACTTTCTCATGTGTTCGTGTCAGGAGGTAGTTGTACACCCTGCA